TTATGTTTGACTTGTAGGGTGCCTGCAACTAGATGAATGGTGATGCCTAGGTGACCTTGTAGGAAATATTTCTGGCCCATGGTTGTTCATTTTACTTAGCTTGGTGATCAATCCAATTTATGTGGGATCAAACTGCCCTTGAAACTGTATTATCAGTCTAAAACTAACCCCTCCACAGTTTTTCTAGTGTCAATGGATATGTCTATCCCATACACAGACCCTTATAACTATAAAACATGTTGCCAGTAGGTGCCTTTCTTGAGCTAGTTGTGAGGATGTCTGAACCTAGGCATGCTAACATATTTGGTCTGAACTGAGACATCCTAGCAATATTTTGATATTTTATTTTCTCCAGAAATTGAAGGATCAACATTGTTGTTTTATTTCGATCTATAGGCATATAGTCTTTAAATGTGTGATATTCAGTATGTTGATGCATCTTTAAATATTGTATAATCAGTCTGTTGATGCACTCTTCCTTGCATTGAGTCATTGTCTTGAACTGATGCAAACAGATCCTAAACTATGCATTACATTGGCTAAGTTTATGTCCATGAAATTGGCTGATAATTTATGTATGTGTGTGACTATCCTAAACTAAAACAAATGCATTCTTCCATTTTCTAGGCAGAGCAGGAGCCAACAGGAAGCTTACATGCCTGCCATATATAATAGCCCAGGTTTGTCTAACTAATCTATCATTTCTAGGATGTCTAGTGCTCGGCTGAACTATCTAGTTAAACTGAAATATTCTGACAATGTTTATATGCCATTGATGGTCTAATACACTGCAACTTTTGGTGTGATTCTCTTAGTTGTTTTTCTGCAATGCTTGTTAGAAATGAGGCATTACTTGGTGCAATTTATCTTACCTATTGGAATAATCTTAATTTTGGGTCAAATCTATTTCAAGCTGCAGCATGTTCCATTTTTTATGCAACATGTTCCATTTCTTTATAGTAAAACTTTACCAAGCTGCTCATAATTAACAATATTCTTTTCTGTTATGATTCTCTTGAATTTAGTACTGATATGTACTGATATTATTTGAGAAAAAAGATAGAAGATGTCTGAGTGTGACTAATTGGTGATAACATATTGTTTGATGCTTGCAGGACTGCAGGTATCTGTGTTGGCTGCTAGCTGGTAATAAGACACTCTGTCCAGTAGTATTGCACAAGTTATCTTTTTTAGAGATTAGATTTCATCTGTGTCACCATTGCTTGTGTTGTCTGTCCAGTAGTAGCAGCCTGTGAAATATGACTAGTCTTTATAAGGAATATAACTAGTCTTCCTGTGAAATGGTCTTGTGTTTGTGGATGTATATATGTATATTTGTGGCGGTCAGATTCGAATTTAAATTATATATATATATATATGGTCAGATTTGAATTTGAATTATTATTTTTTTGCTGTAAAATCCACTGTAGGGGTGGTTCTTGATTGAACCGTCCTTACAAATACACACAGCAGGGGCGGCAGGTGATACGGCCGCCCTTACAGAAGCCCACTATAGGGGCGGCTGATATTACCAGCCGCCCCTACAGAGGGCACTGTAGGGGCGGCTGAAAACACCAGCCGCCCCTACAGAGGGCACTGTAGGGGCGGTCAGGAAACCGCTCCTACAGACACCCTCTGTAGGGACACCCTGTGAAGGGCGGCTGGCGCAGCCGCCCCTACAGAGGATCTAGAGCCGCCCCAATAGTTAATTTCTGTAGTAGTGGTGCGCGGCAGCAGCCAGGAGGAGGCCGAGGGCAAGGAAGAGAGCAACCTTGGGAGCCATTGGTGATGGATTATTACTACTACGGTGTGAGCAGGAAGTGGTGCTTTAGTGCCGCACTTCGTGCTCTTGTGCTTTGGGATGGTCTTCAATTCTCATGCTGGTTGGCAGGGTTTTTATAGCTGAACGATGGTGGGGAAGGAGAAGCTTTAGTGATGTGCTTCGTGCATCATGCATTGGATAATCTGCAACGCATGCTTGATTTGAGCGTTGCCTGGTTGTCCTGGGATAAGCCAGTTATGAAGGAGAGATAGGACAACATCGTCCGGCATGTGGCCATATCGATAGAGATACAGGAAAGCAAGTTGAGAAATCATGCCAAATACAGTCAACGTGCTAGCTACTAGTGATATATAAAAAGATTAATGCAGAAATACAATAGTGCTAGCTGGAATCATTATTTCAAGCTGCCAAGTTTAGTATTTTAACGAAACTGATGTGCTGGCCTTATTTTGTATTCTGTGATCAGCGGCAGAAATCATTCCAAAACACGTGCACGCACTTCCTCACGAATCACGATTATTCCAAAACATATGCATGCATGACACTACAACATAAAATTGAATCAGCTAATCTCTGTTGATGAACTCCACGCCAACGAACGAGTTGCCCCAATCCTGGCTTCCAGCTCGTTGCATCTAGCAGCTGACATCGTTGGTTGCAACATGCAAGCAACTCCGATCCACCATGATTCGCTTGATCAATTTTTCTATTCATGCTTTGATCTCGCTAACTAACAAATCAAAATTCGGAACAAGACAATTGCATCAGTGATGACATGAAACGCTGTTTTGAACACAAGAAGCATGATTCCGGCTTTGATATTTATTATTACATCGTCATTACACGTGCTACCGCGTCGGGCAAACACGGGCGCGTCGCGCTCTCGAGGAATAGAGCTCGAATAATACTAGTAGAATTGCAATGGCTATTGTATATCTGTCCAAGTCTCCTAGATAGATGGACAATATTGTAAGGTCATTACCAGACAAATGTACCTCCCCTCGTCCAGCCCTGCCTGTGGTATCGTCGTATGTATTCTCCTTTACTTACTTCGTCGGTTCATTGCTTTATTCAGTCTTCATTTTCAGTAGCCGGTGCGAGACAATTGAAGTCAGCGTTGCAGACTCTGGGTTGAAAACAAGGCTTTTGTTATGTTAGCACTTAAAACCATACCTCAGACGCACTTATGTACTCTTCACCTTTTTTAGTAGTATTTAATTATTTTTTAAGTTGCTGACACCGATTCGGGTAACACACTAATACCGCTAGATCATCCAAGGCCGCACACGATCTAAGTACGCAGCGGAGGAAGATCCTAACGGTGAGACCGACCAATAGGTCAACGAGGATGATTGGACGCTCGTTCCTTATCCGATAGACCCACAAACACCTCCTAGAACGCCAACGAATCTCGTTGAGAGGGACGCTAGATATTAGGGGTAGGAAGAGATAGGGTTTAAGAATAAAAACTAAGGCAGATTGATTTTGATCGATGGTGTATTGGATACCTCAATCGGTTATGATCCTCCAATATATACAGAGGGAAGGTCATCTTATCCAACTAGGAAGCCTTTCCAAAATGAATCTTCAAGTTTCCCACAAGATCAAATTAGTTTGGACCGGATTTAGGAACAACTAGATTCGTAGAAGTCACGTCAGAAGTTTTGACAATCTTCCGAAGTTCCGACAATGCCGGTACTTCGCCGAACATCAATACTTTTGGCACTCGACTCCCGAGACCTAGGAACAATGAAAGTTCAAACAAACATCAGTACTCCCGATGTCGGCGGGTGGCTGACCGGTGGTGGCCTCCCTGCATTAAATTTTTTTTACTATTTTTAGGCCCGATTTTGTGATTTCTGGAAAAAAATAGATTTGTAGGGGCGGCTCTATATCCGCCGCAACTACAAATCAGCAGCCACTCATACAAATGGGATTTGTAGGGTTCGCTGGCCAACCGCCCCAACAAATCGGCCGTATGCCAAACCGTTGCTACAAATGGTCTTGAGCCACCCCTAAAAATCCTTGGTGGCGTAGTGCTTCTTATATCGTACTTTTTCAGTTAATGCTACTCCCTCCACTCCAATTATAAGTCGCTTTTTGTTCATCCATATTGCTATATATATATATATATATATCTTGATATAATATTAAATCTAGATGCATAGCAAAATAGATGTACCAAAAAAGTCAAAGTGACTTATAATTTGGAACGGATGGAGTATTTAGTAAGTGCACAAGTCAAAGTGGGTTGTATCTAAGTTGTTATTCGCACATTTAAAGTTTGGACTTTTTTTAAACATATTTTAATTTATATATTTTTTTAGGAAAAAACATATTTTTAATCAAAACCAACCTACCAGCCAAACCATCTTATAAAGTGATTCTAATTCATCATCTGAGAAATTTTTTGAGACAATCTCGATCCAAAATATTTCCATGAGAACCTGGATCTCCACCAAACACAGCCTTATAACAGAATGTGTCCAATGACAGAATAAACAACACAAAACATTTTCTGGGAGAATTTGCATCCAAAATATTTTTACGAGAATCTAGAGCTCCACCAAGCACAGCCTTATAACAAAATGTGTCTAACGTCAATATCGAGTCTGATCCAAAACGTATTAGAATAAACAACACGATCATTGAATAAATATCTGCAAACTGCAAATCATCCATATGACTGCATAACAAGCTGTACGTACTGTTGCAACGCACAAATTTGCTAGTAACTATAATATGTGAGCTACCAAATTGGTCCAAAACTCCTTCCTCCAAATAAATGTGCTACCATTGTATATTTTATGGAGAATTTAGTGAAATTAATTTGCAAGTGCACATGTTGATGTGTTCTACTATAAATTAGTCAAACTTAGAAAAATTTGACTTAGAGCAAATCTAGACGTGCATGCTATAAAGATATATATAGTCGTACTGCATTTGAGTTCACTGAACGAGAAAAATATATATATCCTTTTTTCTCGGAATAAAAAATGTAAATATTTCTTATTGATAATTAAATTTTAAAATATAAAATACAATCATTAATGGTACTGGGAAAGAATTTGTAACAAACTTATGTGATAATTAAAATTTAAAATATACTTAACTCCAGAAAATTACAATCATGAATCGCAAGATTGAACACAAGGGGTACGTTCCATGGATGTGGGCATTAGCTCCATCCATCAGCTCATCAACTTAATTTAATTAGTTAGGGGCAAGTGAAGTCCTTGGGGCAAGTCTTGCCGCAGTTGTTGAGGATGAGCTCCAGGCTAACGGGCACGCTTAGGTTGGCGATGTTGAGGACGTTGGCCTTGATGGCAGTGCAGAGGCACAATGCCGCGTCGAGGTCCACCAGCCCCTCAAGCAGCGGGCAGCATTGCGGGTGCGGGGGCAAGCCGACCTTGATGAGGTCCAGCACGTTGGCGCGCTGCGCTGAGCTTGAGCGTGTCATGGCGCCCAGCCTGGCTGTGTGACGGGCGGCGGCGGGTCGGGACAACTGGGCTGGAGCAATAGGGTTCGCAGCCGTCGCGCGCGCAGCAGCAGCAGGAGGAGGCCGAGGGCAAGGAAGAGAGCAACCTTGGGAGCCATTGGTGATGGATTATTACTACTACGGTGTGAGCAGGAAGTGGTGCTTTAGTGCTGCACTTCGTGCTCTTGTGCTTTGGGATGGTCTTCAATTCTCATGCTGGTTGGCAGGGTTTTTATAGCTGAACGATGCTGTGGAAGGAGATGCTTTAGTGATGTGCTTCGTGCATCATGCATTGGATAATCTGCAACGCATGTTTGATTTGAGCGTTGCCTGGTTGTCCTGGGATGCGCCAGTTATGAAGGAGAGATAGGACAACATCGTCCGGCATGTGGCCATATCGATAGAGATACAGGAAAGCAAGTTGAGAAATCATGCCAAATACAGTCAACGTGCTAGCTACTAGTGATATATAAAAAGATTAATGCAGAAATACAATAGTGCTAGCTGGAATGATTATTTCATGCTGCCAAGTTTATTATTTTAACGAAACTGGTGTGCTGGCCTTATTTTGTATTCTGTGATCAGCGGCAGAAATCATTCCAAAACATGTGCACGGACTTCCTCACGAATCACGATTATTCCAAAACATATGCATGCATGACACTACAACATAAAATTGAATCAGCTAATCTCTGTTGATGAACTCCACGCCAACGAACGAGTTGCCCCAAGCCTGGCTTCCAGCTCGTTGCATCTAGCAGCTGACATCGTTGGTTGCAACATGCAAGCAACTCCGATCCAGCATGATTCGCTTGATCAATTTTTCTATTCATGCTTTGATCTCACTAACTAACAAATCAAAATTCGGAACAAGACAATTGCATCAGTGATGACATGAAACGCTGTTTTGAACACAAGAAGCATGATTCCGGCTTTGATATTTATTATTACATCGTCATTACACGTGCTACCGCGTCGGGCAAACACGGGCGCGTCGCGCTCTCGAGGAATAGAGCTCGAATAATACTAGTAGAATTGCAATGGCTATAGTGTATCTGTCCAAGTCTCCAAGACAGATGGACAATATTGTAAGGTCATTACCAGACAAATGTACCTCCCCTCGTCCAGCCCTGCCTGTGGTATCGTCATATGTATTCTCCTTTACTTACTTCGTCAGTTCATTGCTTTATTCAGTCTTCATTTTCAGTAGCCGGTGCGAGACAAATGAAGTTGGCGTTGCAGACTCTGGGTTGACAACAAGGCTTTTGTTATGTAAGCACTTAGCACCGTACCTAGGAGGTACTTATGTACTCTTCGCCTTTTTAAGTAGTATGTAATTATTTTTTAAGTTGCCGACACCGATTCGGTTAACACACTAATACCGCTAGATCGTCGAAGGCCGCACACGACCTTAGTACGCAGCGGAGGAAGATCCTAACGGTGAGACCGACCAATAGGTCAACGAGGCTGATTGGACGCTCGTTCTTTATCCAATAAACCCACAAACACCTCCTAGAACGCCAACACATCTCGATGAGAGAGACGCTAGATATTAGGGGGTAGGAAGAGATAGGGTTTAAGAATAAAAACTAAGGCAGATTGATTTTGATCGATGGTGTATTGGATACATCAATCGGTTATGATCCTCCAATATATATAGAGGGAAGGTCATCTTATCCAACTAGGAAGCCTTTCCAAAATGAATCTTCAAGTTTCCCACAAGATCAAATTAGTTTGGACCGGATTTAGGAACAACTAGATTCGTACAAGTCACGTCAGAAGTTTTGACAATCTTCCGAAGTTCCGACAATGCCGGTACTTCGCCGAACATCAATACTTTTGGCACTCGACTCCCGAGACCTAGGAACAATGAAAGTTCAAACAAACATCAGTACTTCCGATGTCGGCGGGTGGCTGACCGGTGGTGGCCTCCCCGCATTAATATTTTTTTACTATTTTTAGGCCCGATTTACGTGATTTCTGAAAAAATAGATTTGTAGGGCGGCTCTATATCCGCCGCAACTACAAATCAGCAGCCACTCATACAAATGGGATTTGTAGGGCCGCACTAACCAACCGCCCCAACAAATCGGCCGTATGCCAAACCATTGCTACAAATGGTCTTGAGCCACCCCTAAAAATCCTTGGTGGCGTAGTGCTTCTTATATCGTACTTTTTCAGTTAATGCTACTCCCTCCGCTCCAAATTATAAGTCGCTTTTTGTTCATCCATATTGCTATATATATATATATCTTGATATAATATTAAATCTAGATGCATAGCAAAATAGATGTACCAAAAAAGTCAAAGTGACTTATAATTTGGAACGGATGGAGTATTTAGTAAGTGCACAAGTCAAAGTGGGTTGTATCTAAGTTGTTATTCGCACATTTAAAGTTTGGACTTTTTTTTAAAATATTTTAATTTATATATTTTTTTAGGAAAAAGCATATTTTTAATCAAAACCAACCTACCAGCCAAACCATCTTATAAAGTGATTCTAATTCATCATCTGAGAAATTTTTTGAGACAATCTCGATCCAAAATATTTCCATGAGAACCTAGATCTCCCCCAAACACAGCCTTATAACAGAATGTGTCCGATGACAGAATAAACAACACAAAACATTTTCTGGGAGAATTTGCATCCAAAATATTTTTACGAGAATCTAGATCTCCACCAAGCACAGCCTTATAACAAAATGTGTCTAACGTCAATATCGAGTCTGATCCAAAACGTATTAGAATAAACAACACGATCATTGAATAAATATCTGCAAACTGCAAATCATCCAGATGACTGCATAACAAGCTGTACGTACTGTTGCAACGGACAAATTTGCTAGTAACTATAATATGTGAGCTACCAAATTGGTCCAAAACTCCTTCCTCCAAATAAATGTGCTACCATTGTATATTTTATGGAGAATTTAGTTAAATTAATTTGCAAGTGCACATGTTGATGTGTTCTACTATAAATTAGTCAAACTTAGGAAAATTTGACTTAGAGCAAATCTAGACGTGCATGCTATAAAGATATATATAGTCGTACTGCATTTGAGTTCACTGAACGAGAAAAAAACATATAACCTTTTTTCTCGGAATAAAAAATGTAAATATTTCTTATTGATAATTAGATTTTAAAATATAAAATACAATCATTAATGGTACAGGGAAAGAATTTGTAACAAACTTATGTGATAATTAAAATTTAAAATATACTTAACTCCAGAAAATTACAATCATGAATCGCAAGATTGAACACAAGGGGTACGTTCCATGGATGCGGGCATTAGCTCCATCCATCAGCTCATCAGCTTAATTAATTAGTTAGGGGCAAGTGAAGTCCTTGGGGCAAGTCTTGCCGCAGTTGTTGAGGATGAGCTCCAGGCTAACGGGCACGCTTAGGTTGACGATGTTGAGGACGTTGGCCTTGATGGCAGTGCAGAGGCACAATGCCGCGTCGAGGTCCACCAGCCCCTCAAGCAGCGGGCAGCATTGCGGGTGCGGGGGCAAGCCGACCTTGATGAGGTCCAGCACGTTGGCGCACACGCTGAGCTTGAGCGTGTCGCAGCGCCCAGCCTGGCTGTGTGACGGAGGCGGCGGGGGTCGGGACAACTGGGCTGGAGCAATAGGGTTCGCAGCCGTGCGCGGCAGCAGCCAGGAGGAGGCCGAGGGCAAGGAAGAGAGCAACCTTGGGAGCCATTGGTGATGGATTATTACTACTACGGTGTGGGCAGGAAGTGGTGCTTTAGTGCTGCACTTCGTGCTCTTGTGCTTTGGGATGGTCTTCAATTCTCATGCTGGTTGGCAGGGTTTTTATAGCTCAACGATGCTGTGGACGGAGATGCTTTAGTGATGTGCTTCGTGCATCATGCATTGGATAATCTGCAACGCATGTTTGATTTGAGCGTTGCCTGGTTGTCCTGGGATGGGCCAGTTATGAAGGAGAGATAGGACAACATCGTCCGGCATGTGGCCATATCGATAGAGATACAGGAAAGCAAGTTGAGAAATCATGCCAAATACAGTCAACGTGCTAGCTACTAGTGATATATAAAAAGATTAATGCAGAAATACAATAGTGCTAGCTGGAATGATTATTTCATGCTGCCAAGTTTATTATTTTAACGAAACTGGTGTGCTGGCCTTATTTTGTATTCTGTGATCAGCGGCAGAAATCATTCCAAAACATGTGCACGGACTTCCTCACGAATCACGATTATTCCAAAACATATGCATGCATGACACTACAACATAAAATTGAATCAGCTAATCTCTGTTGATGAACTCCACGCCAACGAACGAGTTGCCCCAAGCCTGGCTTCCAGCTCGTTGCATCAAGCAGCTGACATCGTTGGTTGCAACATGCAAGCAACTCCGATCCAGCATGATTCGCTTGATCAATTTTTCTATTCATGCTTTGATCTCGCTAACTAACAAATCAAAATTCGGAGCAAGACAATTGCATCAGTGATGACATGAAACGCTGTTTTGAACACAAGAAGCATGATTCCGGCTTTGATATTTATTATTACATCGTCATTACACGTGCTACCGCGTCGGGCAAACACGGGCGCGTCGCGCTCTCGAGGAACAGAGCTCGAATAATACTAGTAGAATTGCAATGGCTATAGTATATCTGTCCAAGTCTCCAAGACAGATGGACAATATTGTAAGGTCATTACCAGACAAATGTACCTCCCCTCGTCCAGCCCTGCCTGTGGTATCGTCATATGTATTCTCCTTTACTTACTTCGTCAGTTCATTGCTTTATTCAGTCTTCATTTTCAGTAGCCGGTGCGAGACAAATGAAGTCGGCGTTGCAGACTCCGGGTTGACAACAAGGCTTTTGTTATTTAAGCACTTAGCACTGTACCTAGGAGGCACTTATGTACTCTTCGCCTTTTTAAGTAGTATTTAATTATTTTTTAAGTTGCTGACACCGATTCGGGTAACACACTAATACCGCTAGATCGTCC